ATTCGATATAATACTCTGAAACTATACAACACAGGCATGATCTGTGAACGATCATCGGTGATTAATTATTTCTTATTACTGTTATTCATCATTACTGTCATTACCAATTGTTACTCATCGCTATCATTTATTTTATTTTAATAGCGAAGAGCAAATGCCCATACGCTTATAAATTGATAAATTCACGTGATACTTAGTTTATACCATTCTATATGCTACAAATATGCCAGGAATGTCTGACGGCAGGACTTGCTTTCGATAATATTTCAGTCCACCATATCATCCAGTACGCGTACGTTTTATAATGAAAAAATAAAAAATGATTATACAACATTTCATTGTAGCCTCCTAATATAATGAATTATTATAGCATCGCTGAATGCACTATTTTCTAAATGATATGATTAAAAATCGAATGTGTATTACGTGATCTTAGATGTGCTAAAGTTATTTGCCATTCCTGTCCAATTATATCTGATCGTAATAATGATAATTTTATGTATACTTATCATGTTACATTATTACGTAATATCTGCAATGCTTCGTCAGTTTTTCAACTGCCTCGGGACGTTCCGATATCTAATCTGTCGAATGCATTGTCGAAATTTTCATTGAATTGTCCGTTATCGTGAACGTAATGAGTGAACATGATGATAATTTTATGTATTTTGATGATAACTTTCAGAAACAATGAGATCTGATATTATTTTACATTATGTTGTGTTTTTATTATACGCATTCGAGTTGTATTTAGAGAACGGTTCACGTCTCTGATGGAATCGAACGGAAGAGGGTTACAAATCTTCTTCTATGCTCACAAAAAGACTCAAGAAGCGAATTGTTTATTCCTTTAAAAGGAACTGTCACTGGAAATGAGCAAAAACCAGTAACATCCAGGTAGAAAAAAGAACTTCCTTAAAAGCAATACCTACCTTTTCTGTTGGGTCGATATCGATGGCATGTTTCTTTTTAAGTAAGCAATGACGATTAGTCAAACGAATAATGAGAATACTAGAATAGGCGAATGAGATTCTGATTTCCAAACTGGAACGATAATGTCACTGACTGCCACAAGTAAAGGAAAGTGCGGATTTATTGTTTATATACAATTCACTAAATGTGGTGTTTGTATTTGATGAATGATAACGAGTTAATTTTTCCTAACGAACAGTTTTCATAATGATTGATTTTTTGCTTAGCGATTATACAGCTAACATCACACATCAGTTAGCTGTTTGTAGTATGAGTTCAAATAATGAAAATTGTGCGAGCAACAATAAAAAAAGCTATCATCAAGACAATAATATTAGGTCGATGTTGAACTCGACGTCTTGAAATGGCTCTCTTTTCATAAAAGTGTTGACAATTAAAAAAGTGTTAAACGTCATTCCGACTGCGACATCAGCAAATGGTACAATAGAACAAATTAAAGTGCTGATACAGGGTTTTTTCCTTTGGAACGTTTGTTAAAATTTTTTCACAGTCATATTCTTAGGGCTTTTACGAATTTTGAAGTAATTTTTAAGATTTCATAAATCTTCTCCTGCGTGATTTTCATGGACTTTTTGCGTTTCTATGCATTCTGTCCTTTCGGATTTTTACGACGCGATTCCTTTTTTTTAGGATTCTTACAAAATCTTTTCCTATGTCATTGTCTTATTCTTCTATCTAACGATTTACCTTATCACGTGGTATCACTTGTTATCTTATTTGATTGTTTTGAAATTTTAGAATATTTTCCAAGTGATCGTTTTAAGTTTTTTTCCTAGTATCCTTGCAAATTCTTAATTTAGGATTCGGAAAAATCTTCCTTCAGTGCTGAACTCTATCCTTGTGGAATGATTTGAATTCCTCTTTCAGCATTCTTCGGAAATCCTTTTTTGCGTATTATGAAGAGATTTTCATGTCAAGTTCATTGTATATCCATCCCCCTTCCTTGTGTCTCTCTTATCTTCGTTCTTCTGCAGTTCTTCCGAAACTTGTCGTTCACGATTTTGTGATTTTTTCCGTTAGGATTCATATGAACTCTTTTTTAGAATTACATAAATTTTAGAAAACTACAAATTTATTGAAAATGTCACAAATACTTCAAATTTTAACGGAATTATTCATTTTTCGTTATCTTCATCGATTTATGAAGTTCTTATGGATCTTTGTTCTCCTCATTCTGATAAATCTACGACCTTTGACATTCGACATTGTAGTTTAATTCTCTCAACACAGCTCTATGTTAGTGCATAGCTGATAAACCTGATATAGCTCAGTTTCAGCTTCACTTATCGCCAGTAAACTCGACATGTGTATAAGCCCAGACTCAACTTGATGAGGCCATAGTTCTCCGAGTTATATCTCATATATTTTTGCAGTTGCTTTTAGGGTATTGCCGAAACAATCATTAGACTGCGCCCGTTGTGAAAGTGCATCGAACACACTCCAATTTTATAGTCTCTTTCGCTCTCAACAACATATTGCAAAAACTTTGGCTTATAGGCAAGCCAAACGTTGTCTGAGCAAAGCAATGCTGAACCGAATACTAAAGAGAACGCTATAGACAGCAGGCATCGATCGCATCGTCTCGACTAACAACTGCTCTCATAACATTTACTCACTGCCATCATCTCAAGCAAAATTCCTCTCTAACGTTTATAACAACGACCTCGAAGATGAGCGCTGCTGCATAGCGTTGTGTGCAGTTCATTCAGTTAACGTTGATAATACGCTGGCTGAGCGCTTTGCCTTACGTATTTAATTGAGAATCAATACTGACCGCTGTTGCATCCACCCCTTGAACGATATTCACTGCTCGAATTTTGTTTTAAAACCACCAACACCACCACCAACATTATACACAATAATTTTTTGCATTCGTTTGAATGGCTGGTAATATTTTGGTAATATAATGGCTAGTAATATATCGAGCGAACATCTTGTGGTAATGATGAAATCTGAAAACGAACCAGAAGACGTGAAGATAGGAGCAGCAGCAGCAGCAGCAGTAGCTGCTAGGAGCAAACGAAGAGCCACTAGTGAAGGAGTTCAAGAGACACCATTGGCCAAGAAACTTCAACGTGAGAAGGTACCGATCTCGATCAAGAAGGATATAATCGCGAAGCACGAAGCAGGTATGAGTTATGCGGAAATTGCTAAACTCTATCGTCGTTCCACCTCAACAATTGGCTCGATATACGCGAATAAGGAGAAGTATATGAATGTGTTCGCGGCCGAGGGCGTTTCGGTGCTCACCAAACGACGCACCAAATCCATTAATGATGTTGAGCAATTGCTGTTGACATGGATTAAGCAGAGGGCACTGACCGGTGAACACATCACCGAGACGATGATACGGGATAAGGCAAGGTGCTTGCATTTGGAGATGATTCAGCTGAAATCCGCATCGAAGAGTGACGAAGAAATTGAAGCGGAAACATTCAAAGCAAGCCGAGGCTGGTTGGATAATTTCTTACGACGCAATTGTATTCGTATTACGTCGTCAAGATCACGGAATGTTTCTGGTGACTTGAATTGCATACAAATTGGGAATGGCGAAGTAGTGGAAAGGGATGATTTCACATGGAACGGACACGGTGGGCGATGTTCCGTGGACGTGAGTGAACTCAATTCTTTCATTGTTTCGTTAAAAAATTTTTCATGTTCCTATGGATTATAGTTGCTTTTTACTGTTCCTACCAAAAGATGCAAATAAGATCAAGCTCGATTCTGAGCAATGTTCTTTATCCGTTTCGGCTGAAAACAAGTGTGAAGTTTTGCATTCTGCATTCATCTGATTAGTCTCCAGATGAACCTTTGATATTCATGCGGTTGGATTTAACCATAGGCGAGACTTCATGGTTCGGTTTAAAAGTCAATAAGCTTTCATTCATATGAATCATTCAGTCTTAATCAAAGTTTTGCAGGGGTCAAATTGCCCTTGAAAGAATTTTTCCTTGTTTAGGAGACAATGGTCAGTGAGGTACTGAAAGAAGCGTATGGTAAGGATGAAACTATGGGATTAGACAAAAGAATCAAAGAAGAACCGGAGGAGGATATCGTGTCTCCAGTGTTCACCATGGAACCTATAAGCACTAGTATTGTGAGGTATCGTGAACTCATGCTGGAAGCAAACTTGCTAATAAACTGTTTGCAAAATAACTGCGAAACGAATATGCAAAAAACAGTTTGAAATAGCTGCATAATTATTTTACGTAGCAATGATCATTTCTAGACATTCAGAATTTTGTCAATGGCGACATATTCACAAGACTGAGAACAAATAGAGATTTGTATGCATTGTTTTGTCCAGTTCACATGGATTTGTAAGAATTCACTTCACATTTAAGGCTACTCCAATCGAGCTGATTAAAAAGTTTCAGGTCTGCTGGACAAAACCAGTGTACAGATCAAGAAAATACGAGTAAGTGTATCATACCCATTTGGTTGAATTTCAACTTGTCACTTCAGAGAATCATTCTGAAAGCATCTACATATGCTAGACGCTCAGTTCTTTTATATATTTGACGCTGAGCAGCGAAGTTGGAAGCCAAAGGCAGAATTGATTATAAGAATGGTGTTCAGAATAGCTGGCATAACCGTAAATGAATAAGTTAGAACCAATAATGTGTTGTGATTGCATATCGTAAAAGTGTGTTCAGTCTCCATTGTAAGCAAGATAAAAGCAAAGATTATTGAACATTTGGAACATGCAATCAAAATGAAGCAAGAGGAGATTTTGAATCAACCGTAAAACTTTAAGCTTCATCGCATGAGCAGAATTTCGATACAGATTCCGAATTCAATAGCCATTCGTCTACGTCTGCAGAGGTTTCAACGAGAAAAAATGCACTGGATAATTCGGACAATGTAAGTGAAATGTTCCCTGATTTGACCGTTTGCTTTTTCGAAAGTTTATTTCCTCTTTATCAACCAATTCCTTTGTAATGTATGCAGAGCATCATGAAAATATAATGCATCGAAGCTCTAATCAGTGATGTAATCAAATGCTTTTTGTTATATCACTAAAATGTAGTCATATTATCAGTATTAACAAAACGCTCCATAGAGATCTCTCATAGTCAGTCTCTCAAATAAACGATCACATTTCCAGTCGTACTCTTTTGCTTACACCATCAGTTCGTATTAAACTCTGTATAAGAGGTTTAAGAACATCGCAAAATTAACCATTCGAATATCCTCATCTAATTTCTCGTTTCTTATTTGTATTTCACTCTACCACAGTTCCTTACGAATTCGATTTTTTTTCTGGGTTTGCTATTATTTATTCTGCATAATTTGATTTCACTATAAATAATGGTAAACCCAAAAAACATGTCGAATAATGCATCCATTTATCCGTATTTTACACATCCGATTCGTGCAATTCAAATTAATTGTTTGCACACTTGTACGCCTCATTCATTGATATCGCAAAGTGTACGAGTAGCACGAGACTAGTGCTGAAGTGTATCTATACGAATTCTGTAGCGTATTCGGTGGTTATGTCAGCTAAGATTTTTTTTCCAGATGACTGCGAAGGAATTCGAAGTAAGATTGGTGAACAAACTGCACGATTTCCCAAGCGATCAGCGAGCTCTGGTCAGAGAAAGACTGGAGAACGAGCTCGACATTCTGTTCGCGAGAAATATTTCGCAACAAATCAAAGCGCATTTTCATGGTGATTGTCAGCAAAACGCTATGAAAAGATTACTTTCAGTTGTGAACGACAGCACATTTTTGAACTGATCTTGTCCTTGGAATGTTCATAAATATTGTTTTCATTGAGCCATTTGGACAGTACAACAATGGAAAAAATCAAAATAATTTCAGTAATAACACAGTGATTTTTGTTTTTCCACTGTTATAATATTTCTGCCAAAACTGATAGCATTAATCCATTGGTATCAAAGCACCAAATGATTTTCAAGGAATTTTTCGAAACTTCATTTTGATATTTGTTTCAGTGAAAAGTCTTTTTTGCCTATGTTCCAATCTTAATCATCCTGCAAAGTGATTGGTTTTAATTTTTAGATTGTCACTTTTTAATGAATGTTCTTTATTTTGACTATCGTCAGGGTTCTGTCTATAAACAAAGATTCTACGTTCCAATAGTTTGGTCATGTGATATTTCGACTGATTGGCATTAGCTTTGATGATATCTGTTTTATGAGTGATTTGAATCTCAGTCTCGAGTGACAGTTACATCTGATGTTTGTGGCTGTTGATGCGATCATGGCGTTATGCGATATTCTTCGCGTTGATCACAATCTTATGATGATATTGTTCCATCGTATCACTTTATTTCATATGTTGATAACGAGATTTTGGTGATGAAATTGTTTGTAAAATTCGTGAAATCATGATATTTCATTGTATTTGAAGTTATAATCATGTGAAATCATTCTACATTTTCATTCTTGTAATCTGTATGTAGTGCATAATTGCTTAATATTTTCGGGCCGTGACTCTCAAACATTGCTCGTTTGGGAATCTCATCTGTAATTTGTAGTACCGGTACATCCTTGGTGCATTTTTATTTTGGTCTATACTCGCTCTGTTTCCATTCCGTGATTGTTTCGAGTAATCCAGTTTCCTTTGACGATCGCACTCATCAATAAATCTGTTCATGAAAAAGCTCATCTGAAAGGAAAGAAATTTTGTAGATGAAAGAGGGATGAAATGCGGCCAAAAGACTGTCAGCATGCTGTTGGATCAGAATTCAGGGAGATCAGTTGAGATGTTTATGGTATTTATGTATGCATTTTCATCAGCGGTGAATTTTCATAATTGAACGATAGGAATGAATAGACTTTTACAAAGAAAAATGGAACAATACCTTCTGAGTAGTCAAAAGCGAGACTTTCACTTTGTTGGAGATGTGCAAACAAAGAACACCATAAATCAAACTATGGAAAGTCATGAGCCTTTTATGGAGCTTCTTCAAAACATTCATTTTCACAAAAACAACGCCCTAAACTGGATGATATCCTTTCAAGATTTCACTCTTTCCATATTTGTTAAGCACTACGTTATCAGTCGCAATGAGAAATGATTCGAATTTGAACATTGATTAAGCGCATAAATCCAGGTAAACATTTACTGTTCAATGAAATTTCATCATATCATTCGTAAGTAATCCATTAATTCATTTCAAACGACCAACCACAGATCACCGTACATCTGAGCTATAACAGTTTAAAGTACCAGTTCAAAAACATATGCGTTTGCCGTATAAGTATTTTATGTCATGTCAATTTCTGAATGCTTATCAGTTTTTAAGTCAACCGAATTCGAAAATAAAGATCTAGTGACATCTATAGAATTTTATGTGATAAAAAGTTACGAAAGTCTGTTTACGTCAAAACTTTTCCGCTGCGATAAAAGCAATTTGTGACGAAACGACCAGTTTCGTAACAACGATGCATACGGTATTTTACTTCCACTATGATGTTTACATAGTCGTTCCACAGCTACATGCATTACCTACGGGCACATTCAATCGTCTGTATTTTTTGACATAAACTTCACATGCAATCAGTGTTTTTGGAGCTCTGCCACTGTATACCTTTTATCTGTTACTGCTTAACAAAAATAAAAAGAAAATCTTGATATGTTTCGATCGGGAGAACTCCAACACCGGGTTGTTTTGCAAGTACATCTGAAAATAACACATGGAACATCTTCCTTAAGCTGCTGTTCCATGCAATTATTGCTTTTCCTCAGAATATTCGAATCAGCGTAAAATTGAAACATTCAATGAAGCGATTCAACAATTCAGCAACAACAACAGTCGATGCAATCGGGGACGGTACTTTTGCTGCTGAGGGGATATCGCCCATTGGAAAAGCCAGCGCTATCTCCTCCACAGCAAAACTTCACAGCAAAACTCACTTCGTTGTCATATGTGAACGAACGACCATCGAAAGATACAAAGTGGTAGCCTCAACATAAGTCTGTCATCCCTTCACAACGAATACGCTATCAGATCATTCGATATTACACATTACTATACAAATATAGGTTTGATACATTAAAGACTACCGTCTTCTCAAGTTTACCAAGTAACATATTAATGTTTGTACAATATTCGATCGAGCAGAATCTCGGCTTTCTAAAATAAAAAAAACTCGCCGAGAAATTTAGTCTCCTCGAGGAGATATAGCTATTTTACTGATGCTGTAGGGGTTAGCTCACTGAAACCTACCGTACCCTCAGGTTTGACCAGTAACATATCAATTTCTTTACACCAGAAGATCGAGCAGAATCCTTGCATTCAGAAAAAATATATTTTGTCGGGCAATTTTGCTTAGTTAAGGAGCTATAGCTATTTTATTAAACTTATCTCCACTAGTGCTGAGGTGCTCATTAATATGCATTTGATCACTATTGATCAACTGATGTTATACATTGCTATAGAAATATAGGTTTTATACATACAAGCCTACCGTCTTCTCAAGTTTGCCCAGTAACATAGTGATGTTACGAAAGTATGAAAAGTGGATTCAGTGTATTCAATAAATTCAGAATTTATTATTGAGAAGCAATTTGACATTTGATACGCATATGATTTTCAAACGAAGCAATTTAGATATCAACTTGGAATGTATGAATATATTCATCTACAGTGATCAGAAGTATATTAACGATGGGAGTACGGTAGGCTCGAAGAAGGCAACCCGTACAACGTTGAGAAAATAGTCATTTCTCCTCAGGTAATCATAATTGCTCAGCAAATATATGATAATCTGAAGGCGGAGATTCTCAGCAATCGAATGGTGCAAATAAATTCATAAGTTACCGAGAAAA